GTGAATTAAAAATAAACATTTTTGCTAAAAGTATTATTATATTATTGATTGATTGACTATGACTTTTCAGATCACCCAGTAATGCTATCTGCAAGGTTAGTTCCAGGTAAATATTGCAATCCTTTAGCCATTCCTGGACCTGTGTCCAAAAACAAGCTACAAATGGACAGAACCAAAACAAATGATCTAATGATTCTATCTCTTCACAGCAAAATCTGCAGAGCTGGGAAGATTGTATCCCCCATATAAATAACATTCTATTGGTAGCAAGAATTTTATATAATAATTTAAATTGAAAGATTCTAATTTTTGAATCCGGTGTCGTTTTGCGTGTCAGTTCATAAACACTATGCCATGGGATCGGTACGTCAAAGATCTCTTCCCAACTATTTTGCAATCTATATGGGACTGCTGTCAATCCTTTGGTCCTTAAGTGAAACTGATATACTTTTTTATTTATCACAGTTTTCCTTAACCAATTATGTTCTTTAATGCAAGGCCGACAGACAAGTTCCTTACTTTCTCCCCCTTCAACTTTCCTCTTCCACTTTTGCGGTAAGGCTGCAATTATTTGGTTGTAATTCACATAGAGTTGATCAAGCTGTTGATTGTGGCCTGTGGAATGTTGTCCCACTTCAATGGCTGTGCTAAGTTGTTGGATATTGGCGGGAACTGGAACATGCTGTCATACACGTCGATCCAGAGCATCCCAAACATGCTCAATGGGTGACATGTCTGGTGAGTATGCAGGCCATGGAAGAACTGGGACATTTTCAGCTTCCAGGAATTGTGTGCAGATCCTTGCGACATGGAGGTTGTGCATTATCAAGCTGAAACATGAGGTGATGGAGGCGGATAAATGGCATGACAATGGGCCTCAGGATCTCGTCCTGGTATCTCTGTGCATTCAAATTGCCATCAATAAAATGCAATTGTGTGCGTTGTCCGTAGCTTATGCCTGCCCATACCATAACCCCACCGCCACCATGAGGCTCTCTGTTCACAACGTTGACATCAGCAAACCGCTCGCCCACATGACACCATACACACTGTCTGCTATGTGCCCGGTACAGTTGAAACCGGGATTCATCCGTACAGAGCACACTTCTCCAGCGTGCCAGCGGCCATCGAAGGTGAGTATTTGCCCACTGAAGTCGGTTACAACACCGAACTGCAGTCAGATCAAGACCCTGGTGAGGACGACGAGCATGAAGATGGTTTCTGACAGTTTGTGCAGAAATTATTCGGTTGAGCAAACCCACAGTTTCATCAGCCCTCCGGGTGGCTGGTCTCAGACGATCCCGCAGGTGAAGAAGCTAGATGTGGAGGTCCTGGGCTGGCGTGGTTACACGTGGTCTGCGGATGTGAAGCTGGTTGGACGTACTTCCAAATTCTCTAAAACGACGATGGAAGCGGCTTATGGCAGAGAAATGAACATTCAGTTATCTGGGTACAGCTCTGATGGCCATTCCTGTAGTCAGCATGCCATTTGCATGCTCCCTCAAAACTTGAGACATCTGTGGAATTGTGTTGTGTGGCCTTTTAGTGTCACCAGCACAAGGTGCACCTATGTAATGATCATGCTGTTTAATCAGCTTCTTGATACGCCACACCTGTCAGGTGGATGGATTATCTTGGCAAATGAGAAATGCTCACTAACAGGGATGTAAACAAATTTGTGCACAACATTTGAGACAAATTAGCTTTTTGTGCGTATGGAACATTTCTGGGATATTTAATTTCATCTCATGAAACATGGGACCAACAGTTTACATGTTATGTTTATATTTTTGTTCAGTATAGTTCTAGAGGTTTTTATTGAGTCTAGCCTAAGAGAAGTGTACACAAAGATTTATGGAATAACTTGCTTTAACAGTACTGTTAAAAAGTAATACATGTGATTAATGTCTTTGTTACGTTTTGCGCAACTAGTCAATCTCCTAATTAAAGTATCTTTATTTTGAAACACTTTGATCTGAATATATGCTTCACAATAAACATACGCTTATACGGGCCCTCTGTGTGTTCTCTTTGGGTCACGACCAATGTTCTCTCCAAAAAATGTAGGCACTGAGCAAATTTCAGGTCTGCTGAGCGCAAACTTGAACTTTGTGAAAACTCTTGTGCAACTTCCAGCGCGTGTTTACTGTGAACACTGAGGCTGTACCCGCTTAAAGTTGCAGTTTCAAATAGTAGGCTACTGTGGCTATTTGATCATAACGTAGGCCTACCAGAGTGGCATACCATCAACAACAATGGATCAAATGTCTGGTCAATATAGATCTACATTCCATGAGTTAAAAAAAAAGAAACAACATTAACCTGTTTATCCACTAGTCCTTCAGACAAGGAGGTGACTGAAAATGTTTGTTGTGGTGTTGCTGCAAGAAACCATTTAACAAAATAAAAATCATTATTATTCCCATACCATTATTACAGAGAATCAGACCAATTATGCTACCCTCTGCCTGTTGGCTACATAGCTTATTCAAGCATGTCTCAAAATAGAACACTGCCCCTTTAAGACAAAAAAAAAATAGCTCTTTACCTGACTGGCTTTTCACAGATGTCTAGAAATGTACAGGTTTTGTGCTCTTGTAGGAAGCAATCACTCCCCCATTGCTGACTACAAATGATCTATAACTGGGCTAATAACTCACTAAATAGAAAGGATATGAACAAACGTGCACACGTGGTTACATGCAACACTGTCCAGTTCAAAGTGAATGGCACAGATCCATATATGGCAATGGTCTATTGACATATAGGCCTACTGCAGCTCTGATTGGTTGTGCCGCACCGGTCTGGTCTGTGTAGAGTACGGGCCTGACCCGTGCCTGTCAATGCAATATAATCCTACTGCAGTGCGTTCTGCCTACAACTAAATCTCTTGTTGAAAGTCCCAGTCCCTTTATCTGTCACCAGTTCAGATTGTGCTGGAGATGGATGTCATCCATGGTGGCTGAACCAACATGTCACTGTCAATTATGCAACACTACTATTTCCTAATTGTGATTACATTCAACACAACTATTTCCTAACTGTGATGATATTCAACACAACTATTTCATAACTGTGTGATGACATTCAACACTACTATTTCCTAACTGTGATGACATTCAACACAACTATTTCCCAACTGTGATGACATTCAACACAACTATTTCCCAACTGTGATGACATTCAACACTACTATTTCCTAATTGTGATTACATTCAACACAACTATTTCCTAACTGTGATGATATTCAACACTACTATTTCATAACTGTGTGATGACATTCAACACTACTATTTCCTAACTGTGATGATATTCAACACAACTATTTCCCAACTGTGATGACATTCAACACTACTATTTCCTAATTGTGATTACATTCAACACAACTATTTCCTAACTGTGATGATATTCAACACTACTATTTCATAACTGTGTGATGACATTCAACACTACTATTTCCTAACTGTGATGACATTCAACACACTATTTCCCAACTGTGATGACATTCAACACTACTATTTCATAACTGTGATGACATTCATCACTACTATTTCCTAACTGTGTGATGACATTCAACACTACTATTTCCTAACTGTGATGACATTCAACACAACTATTTCCTAACTGTGATGACATTCAACACAACTATTTCCTAACTGTGTGATGACATTCAACACAACTATTTCCTAACTGTGTGATGACATTCAACACAACTATTTCCTAACTGTGATGACATTCAACACAACTATTTCCTAACTGTGATGACATTCAACACTACTATTTCATAACTTTGTGATGACATTCAACACTACTATTTCCTAACTGTGATGACATTCAACACAACTATTTCCTAACTGTGATGACATTCAACACTACTATTTCATAACTGTGATGACATTCAACACTACTATTTCCTAACTGTGTGATGACATTCAACACTACTATTTCCTAACTGTGATGACATTCAACACAACTATTTCCTAACTGTGATGACATTCAACACTACTATTTCCTAACTGTGTGATGACATTCAACACAACTATTTCCTAACTGTGTGATGACATTCAACACAACTATTTCCTAACTGTGATGACATTCAACACTACTATTTCCTAACTGTGATGACATTCAACACTACTATTTCCTAACTGTGATGACATTCAACACTACTATTTCCTAACTGTGATGACATTCAACACTACTATTTCCTAACTGTGATGACATTCAACACTACTATTTCCTAACTGTGATGACATTCGACACTACTATTTCCTAACTGTGATGACATTCAACACTACTATTTCCTAACTGTGATGACATTCAACACTACTATTTCCTAACTGTGATGACATTCATCACAACTATTTCCTAACTGTGATGACATTCAACACAACTATTTCCTAACTGTGATGACATTCAACACTACTATTTCCTAACTGTGATGACATTCAACACTACTATTTCCTAACTGTGATGACATTCAACACTACTATTTCCTAACTGTGATGACATTCAACACTACTATTTCCTAACTGTGATGACATTCATCACAACTATTTCCTAACTGTGATGACATTCAACACTACTATTTCCTAACTGCGATGACATTCAACACTACTATTTCCTAACTGTGATGACATTCAACACTACTATTTCCTAACTGTGATGACATTCAACACTACTATTTCCTAACTGCGATGACATTCAACACTATTATCTCCTAACTGTGATGACATTCAACACAACTATTTCCTAACTGTGATGACATTCAACACTATTATCTCCTAACTGTGATGACATTCAACACAACTATTTCCTAACTGTGATGACATTCAACACTACTATTTCCTAACTGTGATGACATTCAACACTACTATTTCCTAACTGTGATGACATTCAACACTACTATTTCCTAACTGTGATGACATTCAAACGTGATGTGTAATGCATACAGTATATCATCTCCATAACGATAAATGAGTCTACATTCTAGAACAAGCATGTGGAATGAGGTGTGGTGTGGTAGCATTGTGAAACGGAGGGATAACATCGGCACAACCTAACATTACTAGCTTTTACCTGTACATGAATCAATTACACACGTTATGGGAAAGTGTCACGAATGATGAGTCAAGCGAAGAAGCCCATCGGGCACATTGATATGGCTAATACTGACCTAGAGAGCAGCATGCCATACGTTTCAACACTGATGTTCTCCTTATTCAGTTCTTTGTCCTCTTTTTGAGGTGTAATTGGACCAGCAATTAATCACAAACAACAACATAGCCGACAAACAAAAAGACTCAGTAAAAACCATTCGTATCAGTTTGCTTAGTTGTGCAGCAGTTAGTATACTATAGTTTCTCTCTTTACGCCGTCTCTTTACACATACAACAGGAGCTGCTATGGTGTCGTTCATGTCAGTCTAACCCTCTACTTCCTCTACTTCCTCTCCTCGCTCTAGGTGAGGACAGCAGCCCAGAGAACCTGCTCCTTCATGGGCCTTTCTCTCGCAAGCCGAAGCGCATCCGGACAGCCTTCTCCCCCTCGCAGCTCCTCAGGCTGGAGAGGGCCTTTGAGAAGAACCACTATGTGGTGGGAGCAGAGCGGAAGCAGCTCGCCAGCGGCCTCTGCCTCACAGAGACACAGGTGAGTGTGAGGGGGACTCAGCGATCTTGAACGCACCCTAAACCCCTAGGGCCTAAAAGCCAATTTGTGCTTGATCCGTAAATGTGGAGCCTCTGGAGGCCAAATCGAGCTCCGTACCACATCGTCGTGCTCCTCGGAGGGCTCCGTATAGCTCTACATTAACATGATTGGTTGACGGTCGGTGGGCGCGGGAGGTCCAGTATGAACACAAACTCACTTCCTTCACAACTTCCTTCACAACAGCTCTGCTCAGCGAAGCGCAGGACGTATACATGCCCTGACTTTAGAGGTCGTATCACAGTAAATGCTGTAGGGCCACTGCAGAAGTCGGATTTACCATGCAGAAGCCTTTAAGGCATGGCCGCATTCCAGAGCACTGAAACAGGGGATATGAGTAGACTCGTAAGTCAGAACTCCACAACACCCCCTCAACCAACATATAGCAAAATCAGGTTTCTCAACCACAAGTTTTGTCCTACAGTAGCTATCGGGATGGGCAAGGTGATGCCAATAAATTATGTAGTTAATTTCACTATTATTATTTATGACTTCATTTCCCTAATAAACATCAGAAACACGCTGCTGATCAACGGCAATTTAGGCTTTTTACAATCATCTCATGCAATATATCATACATTGAACTTTTAATTTCAAAGGAATTAGACCAATAATTTAATCAAGCTTGTAAATGTGATGTAAAAATGCCAACCAGACAATGCCTGAAAAATGATATAGAAATATGTTGCTATTTGCAAACAGCTGTAAAGAACGAAAGTATGTGAATTTTTAATTTTTATTTTATTTCACCTTTATTTAACCAGGTAAGCCAGTTGAGAACATGTTCTCATTTACAACTGCGACCTGGAAGCCTTAGGCAAGGCAATGTTTGGCAGTACTATAGAAGAAATATGGAAGCAATAACAGTTTTACACCATGTGAAATATTGTGTTGGTATTATTGCTATTACACTTTGGAAAAAGCTTTGCTTAAAAATCATACATGCAGACACTTCTATAACTAGTAAAGGTACATTTACTGAAGAAAATGTGTGTGCTTGCTTCAGCTGTCTCAAAGTTTTTTCATGGAAGTGGAAGAACGAGTAGTAGTAGTTTTTACAGCAAGCACATATATATATTTTTTGCCAATGTTTCTTCCAGTACTAAACGACGTCTCTCCTTACTCTCTCCCAGGTAAAGGTTTGGTTCCAGAACAGGAGGACGAAGCACAAGAGACAGAAGCTGGAGGAAGAGTCACCGGAGGCTCAGCAGAAGAGGAAAGGAAGCCAGCACATCAGCCGCTGGAGGGTGGCTACTCAGCAGGGCAGTAGCCCCGAGGACATCGACGTCATCTCAGAGGACTGACGTTACGTCGTTATCACCTTGATTAAAACCATCGTAAATCATTCATCATGAACGCAGCCTGACTGATTGCTGACTGACTTGTGTCTGAATATCGGCAGTCTGTGTGCTCCTCTGAACACATGGTTTGACCTTTGACACAACCTGTTGTTGATTTAAAAAAAAAAAAAACAGATGAACAATTACAATGAAAACGATCACTGCTTTATGTTGGACAGAAGAAGGCCAAGTGTATCATGTTATTACACAGCTCTGACTGCTGTAAACGTGGTGGAAATCTGCATTTGGTCTATGTTGCTTTCCGTAGCGACACAAACTACTGAAGAGAGACTGTTTGACTGGGAGGAATCTTTCAATACAGTTTGTAACTCTATTGTCTACCTGAACTTGACATTGTCCTTCCTCACACTCACATTTAACAAAACATCATCACTGTTTTAGCGTTTTCAGTTTGTTGATGTGTAACTGTACAATGCTAAATATGCACAATATGTTTGTGGTAAAAAAATAAATAAGCCATTGGTATGATAGCTATAGAGGAACCTTCTAGAACCTGCTGATTCTGTTTAGGATTTTGTTTGTCTTAATTATAGTCTTTAGACCAGTCCCACTGAAAGGTAGGCCACTACAGACAATAAATCATACAGATTTGTTACTCCTGAAATATGTTTTTGAGTAGCACATTGGAATAATTTGGACAATGTTAATTGTAAGTATTTATGTAAATCTAAAAAAGGTACTCTACACATCTTCTGTCCTTGTTTTGTTTCCTCTGGATTTAAAAAATGCTGTTTTTGTCTAGTTTGTTACTCTTTAAATTCATTGCAAGTTTGTTTTTGCTTTTGACAAATATTTGATAAATTCTATTGAGACCATGTAGAATGTACAGTGCAGGCACATTACAACTTGTCCACAAGAATGACATGAAAAACAAATGTACCTCAATACTACATTTATTTCAGCAACCATTACCATTCCTGTGATATCATGTTATGTAGCACTTCCCGTAGTGAAATATATATTTTTATTTGTTTTAAATAGATGTTAGAAATAATGCACTATAAGTAGGCATACACTTTGATTTTATTTTAACCTATGCCCCGAGAGTGAACGTTTTTGTACTTTCTGTGTGTGGTCAGATTACTTTGGAAAATAAAAACATCGACATAACATTATTTGTACAATAATACTGATATATATATATATATATATATATATATATATATATATATATATTATGTGCGAGAATGTCTAAGCGTTAATTTAATAACCTATTTTCAACATCTATAATTGTCGACATGTCATCGCGTCAAACGTCAAACACATATCGGTTAAATGACAACTTGAAAAGTAAATTGTGATACACGATGATTTGGTATTTGTTATTTGGTCTACACATTTGAAGAACAGCAGTTTTTGCGAGCTGCAGTTGAATAGTCCAAGCTACACATCAGCATATGTTTGTGAAATTAATAAAAACTTTTTTTTAAATAAAAAAAAGTACAGAAAGCCTAGGTTATAAACCTTTATCTTGTGTTATTATATTATCCATAAGAAACGCCAGTCTGCAGACAGCTTTTATTATTTGTCCTATCCTAAATTATAGGCTATAATAGGGTTATTAACAATTAGCCTAGATTATAAATACACTTTTTGACGAAAACATAAAACATAATGAGGTTCTTTAGACGGCAATAGGCCTATTAATTTGGGCCAATCATTTTTTTCAATGTATTCTCCGTCTGTAACTCAATGAGACACTGAATTGGTTGCGATGGGTGCATGGCCGAATACGACGATACGTTCAAAGCGACATGAAGCAAGTTTAACAACTCAGAGTCACTACACACTCCGTCTTGCGCTCTTCAAAGGACGTCTTTCACCAGAAACATTATTGTGCCAGAGATGCTTTTCTTTCCGGACACACCGGAAGGACTTATGGAACACTTACAACAGAAAAAATAGAGAATGGCAAATATAATTGATTAGGCTAATCGTTCGGAAAATATTTAAAGCCGTAAACCTTCAGCCGAAAGAGTTTCAGAAAAGGTATGTCAGACTCAGAATCAAACGCATTTTTTTTATTCACATTTTTGCCATGAATGAGATGAGGATATGGCAAACAACTTCACTGTTCTGATATGCCGACACACAGAGATGAGGAACCTTTTCTGGGAATTACGTCAGATCACCGTCAATACGGATGAGAAAGAGACAATCATAGCGAGAGATGTGTCGGGCCAAACGGACATGATCAACCCAACAACAGGTCAAAACCCGTCCCTGCTATTATTACTAACACGACATTTCCTCCTTACTAAAACGGCTTTCTTTGAGTAATAGAGACAAGTCTTGCGTGAGCCATATTATTAATAGTCCAAGCTTTTAGTTTATTTCGAGTCATGCTGTAGCCTAATCAAATAGCTTATAGGCCTACAATATGCGTTTTATTTGGACAATAGTCGACCGTTAGCCTATCCTGGAACAGAACAGAATATAATAGAATATGGAATAGTATATAGCTTGCTTATTCCGTAACATGTATGTCAATATAGTATAATCAATGATATATGGAGAATGGTCCCTGAGTGGTCAGCCATTGTTCTTCATACTCAAATTGTCCCTAATTTCCTTCTACGTTTAATTTTATTCTATGTCACCATTGTTGTGTTTTATAGTCAGCTTGTACTAATGTAGATTGACGAAACATTGCTTGAAGGGCCTCTGCTGGGCCTGGGTTTTTACCAGCTGGAAAATGAATTCATATCACCTTTATGCGTTGTGATTTACACCTGCTAATTCTTCAAGCCCCGAGCAATTGAGAGGTGTTAGTATTGCGTCATTTTCATCACCTTTTTACAATAGACAGCCTCATTATCGGCAGATAAGCACATAAACTGTGAACAAAATGTAGGAGCAATCTATTCATATTCTCGTTAATTGGGACTGAATATTTTTTCAGGGTTCAATTACATACTCAATTACAAACTTTCAGACACATTGATGATACAAGCATTAAAATAGGTACAGTAAAAAGAGCCAAGGCCTATAGGAGAATGGCAAACATGATTTCCAGGATTTTGTTAAATTGATACAGCTGTTTCTGTTCTGCTTGATGCATGAGTGGAACGCAAACCAGCTCTCTTTTAATAATCCTAAATAATCTTATTGGTACTGTTGGAGTGGGGATTAATCTCTAGCATATTTAGTATATAGTATAGTAGGCATATAGTATAGTATAGTTGATTATATTATATTATAAACTGGGTGGTTCGAGCCCTGAATGCTGATGGCTGACAGCCGTGGAATATCAGACGGGTATGACAAAACATGTATTTTTACTGCTCTAATTACATTGGTAACCAGTTTATAATAGCAATAATGCACCTCGGGGGTTTGTGGTATATGGCCAATATACCACGGCTAAGGGCTGGATCCAGGCACTCCGTGTTGCGTTGTGCTTAAGAACATCCCTTAGCAGTGGTATATTGGCCATATACCACACCCCCTTGTGCCTTATTGCTTAAGTATAGTGTAGTACAGTATTGTATATCACAGTATAGTACAGTATAGTATAGTACAGTACAGTACAGTACAGTACAGTACAGTATAGTATAGTACAGTATATTATAGTATAAAGGGGAAAGGGTAAAGGGGATACCTAGCCAGTTGTACAACTGAATGCATTCAACTGAAATGTGTCTTCCGCATTAAACCCAACCCCTCTGAATCAGAAAGGTGCGGAGGGCTGCCTTAATCGACATCCACGTCCGTGGTGCCAGGGGAACAGTGGGGGAACTGCCTTGCTTAGGGGCAGAACGACAGATTTTTACCTTGACAGCTCGGGGATTCGATCCAGCAACCTTTCGGTTAGTACAGTATAGTATATTATAGTATAGTACAGTGCAGTGCAGTACAGTACAGTATGGTATTGTATAGTAAAGTAGTATTGTATAGTAGTATAGTATATTATAGTATAGTAGTATAGTAGGCATAATCTACTATAGATTATAGATTTGAAGATTGTAGATTATTTAGTAGTAGATTTATTATAGTCTGTTCCAGAGCCATATATTTAGAGAGTTGGGACAACTTATTATAATCTGTTCCAGAGCCATATATTTAGAGAGTTGGGACATTGTATTATAATCTATTCCATAGCCATATATTTAGAGAGTTGGGACAACTTTAAGAACATTTTCTAATTCTAGACATTCCGTTACATATCATTGTTTAAATATTCCCCATGTAATATTAACGGGGAGCTAACATGGCAGCCATACAATGTTGTAGTGTAAATGCATCATAATGCAAAAACCTCAATGTCCCAACTCTCTAAATATATGGCTCTGGAACAGATTATAATACAATGTCCCAACTCTCTAAATATATGGCTCTGGAACAGACTATAATAAGTTATCCCAACTCTCTAAATATATGGCTCTGGAACAGATTATAATAAGTTGTCCCAACTCTCTAAATATATGGCTCTGGAACAGATTATAATACAATGTCCCAACTCTCTAAATATATGGCTCTGGAACAGACTATAATAAGTTGTCCCAACTCTCTAAATATATGGCTCTGGAACAGATTATAATACAATGTCCCAACTCTCTAAATATATGGCTCTGGAACAGATTATAATAAGTTGTCCCAACTCTCTAAATATATGGCTCTGGAACAGATTATAATAAATTGTCCCAACTCTCTAAATATATGGCTCTGGAACAGATTATAATAAATTGTCCCAACTCTCTAAATATATGGCTCTGGAACAGATTATAATAAGTTGTCCCAACTCTCTAAATATATGGCTCTGGAACAGATTATAATACAATGTCCCAACTCTCTAAATATATGGCTCTGGAACAGATTATAATAAGTTGTCCCAACTCTCTAAATATATGGCTCTGGAACAGATTATAATACAATGTCCCAACTCTCTAAATATATGGCTCTGGAACAGATTATAATAAGTTGTCCCAACTCTCTAAATATAT